GCCTCCAGCTTTCAAGTGTGACACAGCCGACACGCTTAATCAAGCCCCACTGCTCTCCAGTTTCCACCTTCTTACAGCCACTGGCCAGACGACATTTTTCACAGCCAGTAGTCACACTGGCTGATTAGTTGTGAGTCTGGCGCAAAGAAGCGTGGTTAGATTTTCTGGTCGGACACGGAAGTGGTAGGGCGTTTCAAGACTACATAATACAACCTGTCTCTTATACACATCTAGATGTGTATAAGAGACAGATTCTTAACATCGCAGAACATCCACAGCATTTTGCGGTCTCGAACTCGCAACTCACTGCTACAATTCTGCTGTGCTTAACCGCCCGGCCTCCTCGCCGATTCTGACCAGAAACTGGCGCACAGAGCTGGGATCGAACCCGCGTCTCTCTTGGTACTCTGGTCCTATACTTTCAAAAAAAGTTAAGAGATCGTAAGTCCATCAGCCAATCATTAACGTCCACGCAAGCAAAATCCACCAATCGTAGACAAGAAAATAGAGCGTAAGTACTTAGGTTCACTTAGCCAGTTTTGAAAGTATGGCCCCTGAACTGTAACCACTGGTTAAACATGCCGCGTTTTTCTATCGCATTTTCGTCATGAAGAACACGTCTGGTAGAGGGGCTGAAACTGGCGTCACTGAGTGGCTTCATAGTCACACGTAGCCTCTTAAAGTGTGGTGTTGAGTGTGGTGAAATAAACCGTGTGATGCACAGGGTGGTGCTGGAGGTGTGGTGTTGAGTGTGATATAAGTGTGGTGTAATACATTATGGTGCGCAGGGTGGTGCTGGAAGTGTGGTGTTGAGTGTGGTGAAATAAACCGTGTGATGCACAGGGTGGTGCTGGAGGTGTGGTGTTGAGTGTGATGTAATGCATCGTGTGGTGCGCAGGGTGGTGCTGGAGGTGTGGTGTTGAGTGTGATGTAAGTGTGGTGTAATACATTGTGGTGCGCAGGGTGGTGCTGGAAGTGTGGTGTTGAGTGTGGTGAAATAAACCGTGTGATGCACAGGGTGGTGCTGGAGGTGTGGTGTTGAGTGTGATGTAATGCATCGTGTGGTGCGCAGGGTGGTGCTGGAGGTGTGGTGTTGAGTGTGATGTAAGTGTGGTGTAATACATTGTGGTGCGCAGGGTGGTGCTGGAAGTGTGGTGTTGAGTGTGGTGAAATAAACCGTGTGATGCACAGGGTGGTGCTGGAGGTGTGGTGTTGAGTGTGATGTAATGCATCGTGTGGTGCGCAGGGTGGTGCTGGAGGTGTGGTGTTGAGTGTGATGTAAGTGTGGTGTAATACATTGTGGTGCGCAGGGTGGTGCTGGAAGTGTGGTGTTGAGTGTGGTGAAATAAACCGTGTGATGCACAGGGTGGTGCTGGAGGTGTGGTGTTGAGTGTGATGTAATGCATCGTGTGGTGCGCAGGGTGGTGCTGGAGGTGTGGTGTTGAGTGTGATGTAAGTGTGGTGTAATACATTGTGGTGCGCAGGGTGGTGCTGGAAGTGTGGTGTTGAGTGTGGTGAAATAAACCGTGTGATGCACAGGGTGGTGCTGGAGGTGTGGTGTTGAGTGTGATGTAATGCATCGTGTGGTGCGCAGGGTGGTGCTGGAGGTGTGGTGTTGAGTGTGATGTAAGTGTGGTGTAATACATTGTGGTGCGCAGGGTGGTGCTGGAAGTGTGGTGTTGAGTGTGGTGAAATAAACCGTGTGATGCACAGGGTGGTGCTGGAGGTGTGGTGTTGAGTGTGATGTAATGCATCGTGTGGTGCGCAGGGTGGTGCTGGAGGTGTGGTGTTGAGTGTGATGTAAGTGTGGTGTAATACATTGTGGTGCGCAGGGTGGTGCTGGAAGTGTGGTGTTGAGTGTGGTGAAATAAACCGTGTGATGCACAGGGTGGTGCTGGAGGTGTGGTGTTGAGTGTGATGTAATGCATCGTGTGGTGCGCAGGGTGGTGCTGGAGGTGTGGTGTTGAGTGTGATGTAAGTGTGGTGTAATACATTGTGGTGCGCAGGGTGGTGCTGGAAGTGTGGTGTTGAGTGTGGTGAAATAAACCGTGTGATGCACAGGGTGGTGCTGGAGGTGTGGTGTTGAGTGTGATGTAATGCATCGTGTGGTGCGCAGGGTGGTGCTGGAGGTGTGGTGTTGAGTGTGATGTAAGTGTGGTGTAATACATTGTGGTGCGCAGGGTGGTGCTGGAAGTGTGGTGTTGAGTGTGGTGAAATAAACCGTGTGATGCACAGGGTGGTGCTGGAGGTGTGGTGTTGAGTGTGATGTAATGCATCGTGTGGTGCGCAGGGTGGTGCTGGAGGTGTGGTGTTGAGTGTGATGTAAGTGTGGTGTAATACATTGTGGTGCGCAGGGTGGTGCTGGAAGTGTGGTGTTGAGTGTGGTGAAATAAACCGTGTGATGCACAGGGTGGTGCTGGAGGTGTGGTGTTGAGTGTGATGTAATGCATCGTGTGGTGCGCAGGGTGGTGCTGGAGGTGTGGTGTTGAGTGTGATGTAAGTGTGGTGTAATACATTGTGGTGCGCAGGGTGGTGCTGGAAGTGTGGTGTTGAGTGTGGTGAAATAAACCGTGTGATGCACAGGGTGGTGCTGGAGGTGTGGTGTTGAGTGTGATGTAATGCATCGTGTGGTGCGCAGGGTGGTGCTGGAGGTGTGGTGTTGAGTGTGATGTAAGTGTGGTGTAATACATTGTGGTGCGCAGGGTGGTGCTGGAAGTGTGGTGTTGAGTGTGGTGAAATAAACCGTGTGATGCACAGGGTGGTGCTGGAGGTGTGGTGTTGAGTGTGATGTAATGCATCGTGTGGTGCGCAGGGTGGTGCTGGAGGTGTGGTGTTGAGTGTGATGTAAGTGTGGTGTAATACATTGTGGTGCGCAGGGTGGTGCTGGAAGTGTGGTGTTGAGTGTGGTGAAATAAACCGTGTGATGCACAGNTGCTGGGGACTTGAGGGTCTCTTACTCTAAGGATCAACAGATAATACAGAAATTAATAATACAAATTTTTGAATTATTCAGGTACCATGAGGTGCCTTTTATTCAGTTATTAAAATTGGTTATAATTTGCTCAACGTGATTCGTGAATAAGCGTTTACCTTTTTTGTTAAAGCAATTAGGATGTCAATTTACGTTGTTAAATTAATGAATTAACGATGTCAATTACGATGTACGCCCGCGGCGCTAACATGGCACGAACACAGTGCCACCACTTCACTGTAGTTGTACTTAATAACTTCATATGTTTATTATATTTTATGTATGTATGTTTATTGGTAATTAAATAGTTTTTTTGTGTGTTAACTAAAAAACTTCGTGTGTGCGTTATTAACGTACGTCTTACCTACACAGAATGAAGCTCAAAGTTCCAGTGGCGTCGCAGAAACTGCGAGACCGCCGCACCAGCTTCCGTGAACAGCTGGTGAACAGCCCGTCACAGCTGGTGGGTTGTGTGGTGAACAGCTGGTGAACAGCCCGTCACAGCTGGTGGGTTGTGTGGTGAACAGCTGGTGAACAGCCCGTCCCAGCTGGTGGGTTGTGTGGTGAACAGCTGGTGAACAGCCCGTCCCAGCTGGTGGGTTGTGTGGTGAACAGCTGGTGAACAGTTTTTGTCATGTCTGTGGCAGGTCAGGGCTGAGTTTGTCATGTCTGTGGCAGGTCAGGGCTGAGTTTGTCATGTCTGTGGCAGGTCAGGGCTGAGTTTGTCATGTCTGTGGCAGGTCAGGGCTGAGTTTGTCATGTTTTACAGGCGGTTAAGAACGGCGGCGGCGAACAAGAGACGCGAGATCATGACAAGCGAGCTGTCAAGTAAGCTTTAACTTATTATTTATGATAAATCTGTCGGGGTTAATTTGGTTTATTATATGCGAAGATTATTCTGCTTTATTATTAATGGCTTAACTTTGTAAGGTATAAGCATTTGTGATGCGTAGCTGCGTACTAAAGAAACGTTTGTTGTCAGCAGCTCGAGGCTTGGAAAAGATATTAAGCATTTATTATGTAATGGGAAAATAATAAATTTCGTTGATTGTTTTAGTTATAATTTAGTTGAAATAAATACATTTTTGAGTTATATTTTAGTTGAAATAAATACATTGTTTTCTTTATATTTTAGTTGAAATAAATACATTGTTTTAGTTATATTTTAGTTGAAATAAGTACATGTATTACAGGTATCCACGCAAGTCTTTAGCGCGTATGGACGCAGACACGCCAGGTGACCTGCAGCAATACCTGCGTAACCTGCTGCTGCATCCCTTCTACCGCAGCCAGCGCGACGTGCTTAACCTGTTTGAGGTGACCTGCTTTACTTGTGGTGACCTGCCTTGTGGTGACCTGCCTTACTTGTGGTGACCTGCCTTGCTTGTGGTGACCTGCCTTGTGGTGACCTGCCTTATTTATGGTGACCTGCTTTATATGTGGTGACCCACTGTCTTTGATGTGACCCACTCTCTTGCTAGGCTTGTATCCTACAATTGCTTGTATCCTACAATTGCTCGTATCCTACAATTGCTTGTATCCTACAATTGCCTGTATCCTACAAATCAATGTTTTGTTGCTGCAGTTGAGGATATTTTCGGTCTTCATCCTTATCGCATGAACTGATAACCTGCATCTCAGCCCCAGGCTGTCACGCTCTCCCCTTATCTTTGCTTAAACTTGTTAATATAATACATAAACTTATCTTTGCTTAAACTTGTCATATTAAACTTGTTAATATAATACATAAACTTATCTTTGCTTAAACTTGTCAAACTTGCAGCCAAAACAAAACCAAGATTTGTTCTGCCTCGACGCCTCTTCCTTGCTCCGACATTACGCAGAGATTATGTCAGTTCTGGGACTATGTATATCCTGATATTGTATAATACCTCCCTTTCACTTTTACATTTGTCCATCATGCGATGTCTCTATAAGACTTAACTTATATAAGTCTTAGTTAAGTCTTATAAGACTTAACTTAAGACTTATCCTGCTATGAGATAGTGTCCACCCTGGAATTGTGTCCCTTAGATTGTGTCCACGCAGACATTGTGCCCACGCAGACATTGTGTCCACGCAGACATTGTGCCCACGCAGACATTGTGCCCACGCAGACATTGTGTCCACGCAGACATTGTGCCCACGCAGACATTGTGCCCACGCAGACATTGTGCCCACGCAGATATTGTGCCCACGCAGGTGTCTGCGCTGTCGTTCGTGCGAGGTTTGGGCCGTAAGCTGAAGGAGGGACTCGTGAAGAAGAGGGTCGGAGGATACAACAAAATGTACATCGCGTGAGTACCTTTGTGCTATTTTAATTTATTATTATTATTATTTATTGGCGCATCTATAAAAACTCACCTACTGCCTCCTTGTGTACTGCGTGCTAATGCCTCGGAAGTTGTTGTTAGAGATCCTTTAGATATCTAGATTAGAGATATTATAGAGATAGCCCTCTAGATATTTGTCAAAGATCCTTTTTCCTATTATCCTGATGCACACCTACATATCATGAGTCTGAAGTTCCTCGAAGGAATATCAGGCTTCTGTGTTAACTTTAACATTTCTAATGCTTTATTTTTTGAACGCAATTTGTGTCCAGCTGCTCCCTATGTTCAGGTTAGGTTCCAGTACGGTCACGTCCACATTACAATCTTCCTACTTAACCTTGAACGCGTTGAACATCATCGCATTACAATGTTCCTACTGAACGTTGAACGCGTTGAACATCATCGCATTACAATGTTCCTACTGAACGTTGAACGCGTTGAATATCATCACATTACAATGTTCCTACTGAACGTTGAACGCGTTGAATATCATCACATTACAATCTTCCTACTTAACCTTGAACGCGTTTAATATCATCGTATCGAGTTCGGGCTCAGTCATAACAGATACTATAATTCTTACTTGCTACGGTCTCAACTCTCATGTCAAAATTAAAGTCTGTAATGACGTTAGTATTCTTAGTTTATGTTAAGCACGTAGCAGTCCCAGGCCACGATGGCATCGCACTGTCTTACTATCGCGCATCCGCCCTCATTTGGGCCAGCTGATGCCCTCATTTGGGCCAGCTGATGCCCTCATTTGGGCCAGCTGATGCCCTCAGTTGGGCCAGCTGATGCCCTCATTTGGGCCAGCTGATGCCCTCAGTTGGGCCAGCTGATGCCCTCA